TGTCCACCAACTTTAGGTAAGGATGTCTGCTCATGAATAGTGCTTTTTGTACTATTCACTGTAGCAAAGGACAAGTCTTCCTCTTAAGGCTTGACACACACTCTAACCCTACTATGTTGCATTAAATGTCCATTTAATGCACTGGTATAAATAGAAGTGTTTCTTCTCCATGCAGAGTGCGCACAACTCACTCCCTAACCCTAATTCTTACTTCAAGTATTTTCTAGCTTAAGGATCTTCTGTACAACATTTCTTTTCTTGTATTTGCTAAGACTTTGTGTGTAACTAAAGATTGTTTGAATACGTTTTTACTACCTTATCTTTCCGCAAACAATCTTGTAAAATTTGTATTGATCTTCTTTATCAATATATATTTTAAATTTAAAAGTATTGTGTTTGTATTCACCCCCCCCCCTTCTACAAACTGTTTCTCTTCTTGTAGACCCTCACGGGACCAACATTTTACAATATGACACAGTAAAGGATTTAACTTCTTGTATATATATATATATATATATATATATATAAAAGCAAATCCTTGGTGTTGCTTACGTTGCCTCTTCACGTCATTGTGTTTAATTACATTATTCCAGTCTCTAGGATTCTGTTTTGATTTATGGAACAACATTTGTGCCAGTTGTGAATAAAAATGGGTGATTTGGCACTGCCTTTGGTTTTGTTTGGCTTTGAGGGTGGCCTCATGTAACTTAGCCCAACAGTAGGCCTCTTTAACGATTTGGAGCTACCTTACTACATACTGGATTTTGACTTCAAGGCAGTGATAAAAATAACTAAGTCCACACTCGGCAGACAACTGCATTATGCTAACTATGTTATCACACTTAGCATGATACTTTTTAGAAGAAGCGGTCTGCTTCAAATCCTTTAGTTCATCCATGAATCATCATAAATTTTCTTTAATGCGGTTGTAATAGTCTTTCGTACTCGACACAAATGCAAGGGAATGCGATAACGACAAGGTAATGCCACAGCGCCAAGGACACTTCACCATCTATGTGATACAGGTTCTTGAAGTGCCAAAACGTATAGTTTGTTAAATTGTAGTGTTGTGATATATTTTGTTAAACTCCTTTATCCTCTATCTTTAAACCTGCATCATAATAATTACAATTACATGTCATTTATTTCACTATAACTGTATTATCTTTTATCTTTAAACCTACATAATACACATTTACACTTACATGCTATTTATTTCACTATAAATGTTTATATTATGCTTATTTATGTTCATATATGCTAATTATGTTTTTTTATATGTTCAAATCCAATAGTCGTAAATTGTAAATTACCAATTTCAATGAGCATTTCCAAATTTATCAAATGAACGTATAATTATATAAATGTGACTATAATATTATAATGATTAATTCTTATAACATCACTATGATTAATTTCTAATTTAATGTAAATGAGTGTCATTCAATAAATTTATGGTGTCTCTTTTTCTATTCACTCGGATGTTCCGGTTATGTGCTAACGTATAATTTTTGACGTTTCATGAAGGTGTCATGAATTTCACAACAACAAGCGCGAGAAAGTGTATACCTCGAGCATCCTTATTTGTCATCTTTAATTGAAAGATTTTCCCGGGTTTGTACTCGGGTGAAGTTTTTGGAATCCACTGATGTCATTCAGAAAACAACGAAAGATGCAATGTTCGAACATAATGACTATAAAGCAGCTTATTAGAGCCGAATGGCTTAATGAATCAAAGGTTAATTTATTACGTCTTTTACTATCGTATAACTATATTTCATAAATTAAATTTATCCATGTACTATTTCAGGGGTATACCATTACTATTATGAGTACTGTCGATGACATTGATAGATGATATGGATGGTTTTACTTGGTATGGAAAGGTTGTTGTGGGAAGATTTATCATGTTGAAGGTGTCTACACAAGTGTCATTCCAACATTCAATCAGACACTCCATTAACTTTGTAATGTTTAAAAATACTGAGAGATGATTGATTTTTACTGTTACATATTCTACATTATTTTAATTTTAATTTTTAGGTACAAACTCCATTTGGTCGTGCGGGATGAAATTGGTGTAACCACATGCGTAGTATTACATCAACTTGCAGAACGTATGATAGATTCTTCAGCATTGAAGTTGTTCAACAAATATGATTCAAATGATGATGAATTTCCAAAATAAATCACCGATCTTTGTGGAAAAAAGTTAATCTTTAAACTGTAGCTGAGTGACTACAACCTTAAACATGGTAGTGATGTTTTCTCGGTATATAATGCGTTTGAGTCGATTGATAGTTTGGAGGAGAAGTATACATCTATGGTGTCGGTGAAGGTATGCAAATTTGCAAACATAAGAGGTTGCGAAGGAAACTTGCAATCATCGATAGGCGGTTCCAGCACTCAACTTTTATGAGGATCAACATGAAACTTCGATGTGTACATTTTTCCCCCTCAACATGCATGCACGACGGAATTTAAATGGTTTATCATTTCACCCTCTTCATGGTCTTGCTCGGAATTTGCATCAATCCCCAATCTCTACAACACATACAGGTGATTATGTTACATCACTAATTAATTATTTTGAACTTTATCTTTTCATTTTACAAATAAATTAATATCATATAGCGTTTACAAACTAGATGAGGTTGGCACATGCTCAATTGGTGACAATCAAAACCAATATGTATATTCTAGAAAAAACCGCATCCAAGGTAATTGTCTTACAAAGTTTTATTACAAAAGTTGTAATCACTGTATTATTAAGAGATAATTATAAATTACATGTGTTTTCTGTTTATCAGCATCAAGAACAGTACCATGGACCATTGGACCATCAACTCATACTTGCCAGTTTTGCAATGCCATTATGTGGTACGAAGAACGAACACCAAAAGAACAAAAACTCCGCAATGCCAAAATTCATGTTTTGTTGTTCAGAAGGACATGTGTAAGTATTGCTACTTCAACATCCTCCAAAAACATTATCTAATCTATTTGGCATCGAATCTGGAAAAAAATGGTCTTTTGTTTCGCAAGGAAATAAGGACATATAATTCTATGTTTTGCATTCACATCTCTCAGTGCACGCATCGATTCCTCAATTAACCGTGGCAAAAGACTGTATGTTTATAGAGTTGGTGGGCAAAATTATCATAGAATTGGTTCTTTGTTGCCGGGAAGCGGAAAGAAGCCACAATTTGCACAACTCTATATCTATGATAGAGATAATGAGATTGCTAATAGGTTGTAGTTATTCGAAGGACATTCGAAAAAGATGGTATTGATTTACAAATTACCCAAGAACTTTCAGAAATGTTGGAGGAACACAACATCTTAATAAAGTATTTTCGCATGACAAGAGACAGATACCGTGTTGGAAATTATATGTGAGGTAGATAAAGAAATTTTAGAGAGTCTTTTTGGTATGTCATCGAGAGAGATGAGAAATTAGATTTTGACCAAGTTTGGGGATAAATATTGTTGGAGGATAATTTGATCAAGTTTGGAGATAAACATTGTTTTTGGATAATCCTCCAACTAAACTCGATCCTCCATTTTTTGGGGGACGATGACGTTGATCCTCAGGGTTTTACCAGTATAAATACTGGGTAGATACCACCCCTAAAGTATCACTTGAGAAATCACTTCCCTCTTTCTTGATTTTCTGCTTCTACCCGTTCTTTCTCTCTACCGAATCTCTGCATCCATCTTGCTTTAATATTCGGTTTTTCATCGCTGTTGGAAAACTGAAAAGTGTACTGTATTAAATCCTGGAGCTTTCGACTTGCAGACTCTTAGCGTCAAAAGAGTAGTCGTATAAAATCTTTAAGGATAGGTTTTGTACCGTGTTGTCTTCTATCTTTACGTACCTCAAGAAAACCAAGTTGGTATTTAATTTTCAACATTGTATTTAATTTCCGTTCACTTAGTGAACACTCTGCTTCTACTCCTTTCTACCATTGAATCTATCGTGAAGGATAGATTCAATACCGTGTGGGATTATTGGTTTGGTTGAGATCTCGATCTTAAGTGTTCTATCTCGTTTTTTTTAAATTTCTATAGATCCTGGTTTTGTTACCTATTAATAAAGTCAAAAATTTATTTATAAAGGTTTAATATTTTTTTTTTGTTTTCTAATCTATTTAATTAAATTTTTCAACATATCATTCGAATCCTGATACTTGTTTTCGTCTGAGAATCATTAAAGATCATCATACAGATAGGCACCTTTACAATATGCCCAATGCTAACGAGGTGGCCAGTTTGATAGTTGGTGACTTAACTGAAAGTAATTTTGAACGTGATGTCATTGTCGAGCATCGTACAAGTGGCAAACAAAATCGTTTTGCACCACCACCAGTGCTGCTTGCTTGGGCACCATCATTTACAGTGAATTCAACCTCCTCTCTCTTTCTCCCGACGTGGATATGTGAACCCTAGTTGCTATCTGATGTTCCCCGTCAAATAAATAGTAACAAAAGTAGAAGTTAACTCATGATTTGACAACCGTTGATACCATCAGACCAAACATAGGGACCAAATTTCATGTACTCAAATGGGAGGAGTTATTTAATGGACCAAACCTCCATCAAAATTGGCAACCGTAAATCTCAAGGAGTCCTTCCTATCATTCTAGTGTTGTTTATCTTGAGACATACTTTCAATTTAGGGTTTTATGGGAATGTAACGACTTGGGTTTTAGTTTTGATTTCACTTTTTTTCTTGGATTTGTATGTTGTTTTGATTTTTCTTAACGAACATTTCGTTAGAGGAACTAAAAATGTAACAAAATGACAACTATAAGGATCAAAATTGTAATTATCTTAAAACAAAAACCAGTTTTGACAACGGGTGACAAATATATATATCAAAAATGAAATTTACTCTTATTTTTACCATTGAACGCGTTTAAAAAGTGGGATTGTAAATAAATAGGGCAAAATAGAGACCAGACCGCCCTTTCCCTTTGTCTTCGCTTCTTCCCCAACATAAAACCTTTGCTGCCATTCCCCTGGAACCAGTGGAGCGCACTTCCAACTAGCCCCCTCTCTCTCTCGCAGTCATCACTGGTTTGATCTCTCTCTAAAACACGAATACTTAGGTTCAATCCTACATTCATCGATCACCCATCTCACTTATCTTCTTCAAAATTCAAAATTTATCGGAACTGCTCTGTTATCATCTAGGTATCCATCAATGTTGTTTGCTAGTAATATCCGAACTTTATTTTTTGTCGTTCGATTAAGGGTTTTTGCCTGGAATTGAGTTAATTTGTTGATAAAAGCTGGACTGGCTTTGGTTTTTCCTTGATCATCAACTTCTTAGAAATATATGTTTTTCTTACTTGAATGTTGTGGACTGGAATTGGTTTCTTGGAACAGTTTTTTTGGTCGTGGCACAATGTTTGTGCTGTATCTTGAGATTGATGTATATTCGCGGTTCCAATCATGTATGTATATATTTAAAATTTCGAAGAAAATGAAACCTCAAGTGTCTGTAAGCGGTAGAAATGGGTACCCACTTGGCTTTTTGAACCTATTGAGCAAATTACCTTTTCTTTCTAGGGTTTTTGAAAGAATGCTTTTTAGTGTTTGATGATAAATGTCGCCTTATTCTCCAATTAGGTTGATGACTTATTGATGGTTTCAAGGTTGGTCATAAAGCAGTCTTTTAACTGCCAACTATGCACAACAACATTCTAAAATGATGGTATAACACCGCTTTGAGTTGCGACTTATATTTTGCATTCTAATTAGATTTCTCTAAGATAGTAGTTGTAATTTCCTTTGGTTTTATTTTCCGGTTTGCTTAACCCCTTTTTCAGTTGGTTCGGATGAGAACTTTATCAGTTCCCACCATATGTATGTATTACGTAGATATAAGTGTATGTCAAGACGAACACAGTTTCTATTTACGAATATTTGCCATATGCTTATTCTGTTATTTAATTCCCACCTTCCATACTAGGTTGCGCACATAACTACAACATTGTTCCTATACTTGAAACCAGCATCTTTTGTTTCTTGAAAATGATTAATGTCGCTTTTTTTACTGAAACGATCTGATATATTTATCCAAGAAAGAGCCAACTTCACATGCTTTTGCTTAAACATTCCAATTCTACAGCCTCCAAAATGTTCTAAAATATGTCAAAATACAAACTTTTACACAATTGTTGAAGTCAAGACTGCTGATCCAAACATCTGTAAGCTAATAAATTTTAAGGTTATAGTTTACTGATGCCATAAGCACCGAATTTAGTTTTCTTAACATTTCATTTTTGTGTTCATCTCTGTAGTTCATCTTGTTATCTATTTATCTAATTCTTCTTAACTGATACTTTTTTAGAGCTTTTGTACTGAACTTACGTAGAGATTTCTTAGATCCATCTCTCCTGAATCTATATTCAATATAGGTTTATATATATTAGCATCCCCATTGGATTTCCATAATTTATGTGGCATTTTCCAAGTATGATAGCCTTTTAAGGCGACAGAGCAAGTGCATGCGCTGGGAGGTGGTAGACCTTTGCTGCAGAAAGAAATGCGAATCTCTGTTATCCTATTGGAAAGAAAAAGCCGTGGTTCGTCAACCACAAGTACAATTGGGCTACAAGAGAATGTACTTGGTTAACTAATGTTTTTGCTATTGTGCTACTTCTGTTTCTTTTTCTTCTACATCTGATTATGGAAAAATAGTCATGTTTTTTTGGTTGTGTGATGTGCTCCTTCAAAACGAAACAACAGCAACACTGCCATAAATAACAAGTATTTGATTTGCCGCATGCTTCCCTATATAACGATCTTTTAGTTTCCTTCTTTTCCTTTATATCATTTAATATTCTATTATATTTTATTTTATCATTGTGTTTCAACCAATGGCAAGCTACTGTATGATATTTCAGGGATTCTTTATTTGCTCGGATGGCCAACAATTCTCAATATCCTGGCATACAGGTAGTCTATAAAGTTGTAGATATAGAGGTGGACAGTTATTTCTTCAATGGTGTTAGTTATATGTGTTTGCATCTTCATTCAAAGACTTCTCTCAAGACTAAGTTTGAACTTGTTTCATTGGGCACAATTGATGCATACTGATGCAAACAATCTGAGAAAAGTGAATTGCTTTTCTGGGGTTGTGGTGTTTTTGCAAGAAGTCAGCAACGGTCGTAAATTAGCTATTCAAACCAACTGTGGGTTCTTAAATGTCAATCTCTAGTAAATTAAAGATGTTATCAAGTGTCACTTAATTCAAATCTTTTGTGAAGTTTTAACATGAGCAGACGTAAACATACCTCACATTGTTTCGTAAGCAAACCTTGCCCGTTTTTGAGGGAGTTGCTGATCATTGACCCAAACCCTCTATATTCATCTTCATGAAGACATGTAAAGTCGTTTTGAACATGTCTAAATTTCAGTGCCTTAAGGCCTCATATATTTTGCAACCGACACTTTTTCAGCAAGAGGTTATTCTATACCTCATGCTGTGCTTGCTTATCTTGGTTAGGGTGAATGATCTCTTGCTGTTCATATTAGTTCGTTCTATTTTTTGCTCCGAGCCATCGACTGTGATTTAGATGCCTACATTTTCTTATTCTTGTACTTTGCTTTGATACTCTAACAGCCTCCTCGACCTCCTGTTGCTCCCATGGGTCCTCCTCAAAGTGCTTACCCACCGGTGCCAATGCAAGTAGGTGTAATTTATTTTGCTTTATGTAAATTCTCCATTATTTTGAATCTGAAGCAGCTGTTCTAATATTCAAATTTTATGTAGTTCCACCCAGCAGGTCCACCACGGCCGCCACCACCATATATGCCTTTGGTGTCTCAACAGTTTTTACCTGTGGGGAGGCCAAACATTGGACTGCCTTCTCAATCGCAGCAACTCCAGTTGTCTCAGCCAATGCCACATCTACCTCCTAGACCTGGACCACCGGCACATAGCATGGTGCCACCTCCTCCACCTCCTCCTGTGCCAGCTCCCCAAGCTTTTTCAGTGCCTGATGGTCAGCCGATCAGGCCTGGATTATCTGTATCACCTCAACCCCAACATGCTGTTCCAATGCATAATAATTATTTGCCCGGTCCAAGTGGCCCAAGGGTGCCTCTTTCTTTAACGTATAGTGTAAGATACTGCAACTGAACTGTTACTAAATTATAAATATATTGTTGAATGATTTGCATTCTTTATCTATATTAACTTTCTTTTAGCAGCTATCAACATCAGCAACTGCACAAATACATGTAAATGCAGAAGCAACTAACCAGTACCAGCAAACATCCTCAACGAATATGCCTAGTTTTCCTCTAAGTGGATCGGCTTGGTCCTCAGATGGCCAGACCACAAAGGCTGTTACACCTGTGTTGCAGCCTGCTGAACAGATATCACTTGCACCTTCTGTTCCAGTAAGGACTAGAATTCTTTGTAGTTTACTGTTGTGTGTTCGAATGCCAAAATATTACAAATTCTGTAGTTTCTTTTAAATAAATTACCATATATGCAAGAAGTATGTATGACATCACACATGCACATGCAATTATTAGGTAACGATTGATGCATCTAAAGCTGTCGGAAAGGCTCCATCAGATTGGATTGAACATACCTCTCGCAATGGAAAAAGGCATGCTTTCGCAACCTATACCTTATGTTACTGAGTTGATTTATCTCCTTTCATTCGCTATATGTTACTGTATAATGTCTCATCACACAAAAATTATCTGGATGTTTCTTAAATTGATTAATGAATGGCTTTTTTTGCTCATAAATGTAAAAGAATCATGGACGCCTGGAAAAGTCAGCAAATCTTGCAGGCATTAATGTGCTACTTATATGTGGATCTCCTGTGATTGCATATCCTAGAACTTCCCCTTTAATAATCAATTTTAATGGTTCGGCTATGTGTGCAAATTTATACATTTTAGTAATAAATGATTGAGAAGACTCTTCCATGTGGGGTTATCTTTTCTTTGCAATATGGAACTCGAAGGAGGGAGGGTGTGGGGTGGGGAAGGCAAGAAAAGCTGATTCGGAGTAGAACTTGAATTATCACAAGTATGACGAGTGTAAATAGTAGACTGCTAAAGAGATGGTGGTTTGTATCACCTACTGAATAATTGGTCATACGAAGAATCTTTTCTTGTGTGTGCATATGGCATTGCTCTCTTTGTGTGAAAGCGAAGTAACTCCTGGGTTTTGCTCTCCAAGTCACGTGAAGGCCTATGCTCTTGGTGTGCTATGGTGAATAATGATCTGACCTATACCCTTGAGGATGAAATGGAAGTGCTAATCATGAGAAGGTGTGACCTGTGGTGATGAATAGGATATGTGAACCATATGTTCCTGCATCTTCTATATGCAGATCACTTGATGGCTGGTGCAACATAGAGTTGTAGACCCCTCTACCCATTTTGAACATAAACAAGTTAGATATATTTCTTGGGTTGAAACTTAATGATGAGAAAGTTTTAACACTCATGAAAGTTAGGGGCTGTTTACCAAATTTTTTATCAAGTCCTGTATGGATAAATTTGTCTGTCCGTATAAATTTGTTTGTCCGGATAAATTTATCTGTCTGGATAAATGGGTGTTGTAGTTTATTTTTTTATCTGAACCAATAGTCTGAATAACATAAATGACCGATTTACCCCCCCCCCCAATATTAATTATTTGAACATCAAAACAAAAAATCTTAAAGAGGCCGAAGATAGGGTGTCTCATATGGGAAGGGGGCGGTGCTTTAAATAAGGGGTAGGGGTGTCATTTTTGTGGCTGAATGGGGACAACACATCATTTCTATCGGTGCGATTAAGCCATGTTCTGTGCGAATAAGCCGTAAGTAAACAACCCAAATAAGTTGTGCGAATAAGCCAGATAGACCAATAAGCCTAATTAAGCCGCAAGTAAACAACCCCTAAGTGTGTCATTTTGAGGCTTCATGTTGATGAAGATAATCGGAAGTGATAGAATTAGTAGGAAAACTAGAACTTAATTTAGAGAAAGCACATGATATTTAAATAAAGATCCTTTAGGGGGTGTTTACTTTTGACTTAATCAGCTTAATGGTTGTTTTGGCTTATTCGCACATCCATATATGGATGTTTATTTGCGGCTTAATGATAAATATGTTGGCTTATTCGCACAGTAGGGAAGGGGTGTGTTGTCCCCATTAAGCCAAAATATTGACAATTATACCCCTCATCCCATGCCTCCCCTTTCAATCCCACCCCCTCTTTCATTTCATAACCTAGACGAGAGATAGAGAGCAACGAATGGAGTGTGAGAGAAATCTAGATCGATGCAAAAGAGGTAGAGTTTCCAACTTCAGGGAAGGTTTTTTTGTTCGACGGGAGGGACTCTCATCGTCTTCTCCGGCGATTTCAGGTCTGGGACTGGTTCGAGTCTCACCGTCTTCCCCGGAGCTTTTGGGAGCCATCGTCTTCTCCAACAGCTTTTGGAAGCCATCGTCTTCTCCAACAGGTTGGAGCCCATCGTCTTCCCYAGAGTTTTCATGCCTGGTTGGAGCCCATCGGCTTCTTCAACAGATTTTGGGAGCCCATTATCTTCCCCGGAGATTTCATGTCTGGTTGGAGCAAATCGTCTTCTCCAACAGATTTTACTACTTTACTATTTTGATCCAACATATTTTGGGAAATCATCATCTGGGTTCCATAAGACAGGCCCCCATCGAGCATCTTTTTTGATCAAATCGGTTTTGGATTTTTGGTTTGATGAACAGCAGATTTTTGGTTTGAGTTTGTGGGGTAGATTGGTCATTATTGTCATTTAGACGATTGATTCAGGTAAAAAAGTAAACAACAATAAACTTTTATCTAGACAGACAAATTTATCCATACAGAACTTAATGGAAAATTTGGTAAACAGGCCCATAGTTAGCTTAGGGGTTGTTTGTTTGGCTCTTAATGTCACCATTAAGAGCCAACCTCTTAATCGGTAAAAGGTAAGGGCTGTTTGGCAAAAGAAAAGAAGCCTCTTAATGGTTACATCAACCTCTTAACCATTTTGTGTCTAGGGCTTCACTAAACCATTTAGATTTCATTTTTCCAACTCTACCCTCTCTACACCAGCGGTTCCTTCACATCACATCCCCCCCTCCCCCGATCGTCGCTCCTCCGGTCGCCGCCCCTACTGCTTCCCTCCATCCTTTTCCACATCGCTTCAGGTATTTCATCGCTTCCCTATCTTGTCATCAAACCGATATTTACCTTTGCTCAATGACAATTTAGGACTGGAATTAAAACCAACATTAAACACTTGTCGATGATAACAACAAACGTATCTCCTCGCGAAAGAACTCGTGGGTTCTGGTGATTTTGTAGGGTAAAAGGTTATTCGTTTTGGGGTTTTATAATCTGTGATTTTGGTGACAATTTGTGGGATTATCGTCGACATCATAGTGAACGTGAAAAGGGTTTATGAAAATTGGATAAAAATCATGGTTTGTTGAAAAGGGATAACGAGAAAGGGGATCTTCCGGATTCTTGAAGAAATATATAACCTTCATCTGTTCTAGCTTTCATTTGAAATATGTAGTTACAAAGTAATTGTTTTATTCAGATATCTGCCAAACAACTATATTCCATTAAGTACTAAATCATACAGAGGGTTAAAATGGTAATTTGTTGTCATTCAGAGAACATTTACCAAACAACCATATTTCATTCAACACTTAACCATTCTGACCACTTAACCATTCTGCACAAAACCATTCAGCAACTGCCAAACAACCCCTTACATGAAGAAATGATCATTGTCACCCACTTGAAACATTTGTGCCACAGAAAGAGAGATCATCTTAGAATTGCTTTTTTTATTTATGACATTCTCATCCTTTTGTACAATAATTGGCATTCCAGGTAAAGAAAAAACATATTCGAAAATGTACCATATGCTAATTATTAAAATTCCTTAATCTTACACCTAATATATTGATGTTTTTAATATTACGGATTGTTGTATGTGTATGTGCATTGATGTGTATATATATAGATGGCGTATATATGTTCAACATATATGTATGCTAGGTATATATTTGTGAATTGACACACATAATAATATATACCATATACATGCACATACATGATACATATGTACATGCCTGTACATATGTGTGTATATATTTGTTTGTTTATGTATTGATGTATATGTATATGCCCCATGTCCTACGTGCTGATGTCTGTCACCCCGCATTTTCCATAGATTAACCGATTTGCTTCTGTTATTAATTTCTTTGACCAAGAGACCATCTGTTTTCCAGTGTTTGAATTTCTAGTAAAACTTGTATCATGATGTTATGCTTCCAACCCACTGGCTTGAGAGATCGGGATTGTTTTTTTGTTGCAAGTGGGAAAATTTCCCCGTAAGGTTTCTGAATCTAAATATACCAGCCTTGGCAGTGGCTGGAGTTATTTCTTTGTTAGCTTAAAAAATGAGATATATACATACATATATATATATGACGCCGATGATGTATGGCGTTTTATGAATTGTTCTACAAACCCACCATTCAAATTTCGGATAATATCTTTCCCAAGGAATTCACTGCACTTCTTTCTGATCCATAATACTTAAGGCATTACACTCTTTTTTATCTTTATGTTTTTTGCTCTACCCCTCTCTTCTCCTCTCACAAAGTTCACCCCACACAATTCCCTTCACATCTCAGCAGATTTGCCATATTGTATTCAATCGAGAAACAAGATATGTAGCAACCTTTTTAGTTGATAGGCAATCACATTTATTATCTTAATATTATCCGTTCTAAAGATAATACCAAAAAATAAAAAATAATGCAAGTGAAAAAACTCGAAAGATACGTGTGTTCAGTGGGCCTGTTATGATTTATTTAGTTATGAAGCCCATAATCCCTGTTTGCTATAATGCATGCAGTCATATCAAGTGAAATAGTAAGCATGTGGATCCCACAAAAATTATAAACAAATGGTCATGTGATAATCATCTGTGACACACAACATTAAGGTAAGATAAATGGAAATGTTGAATGGAGTTTCGGGATGATGCCCACAAAAGGGAGAAGATGAATAGAGATTTACATTTTGTTTGTTTTTATTTGTTGTTATTGTTAGTCTAAATTTTATAAAAAATTAAACTGTACATATGCTTTGTAGGTTCTCATAGAAGCAACTATTATTGCAATTAATTCTCTTCTAGATCCATGCCTTACGTAAATGATGCTAAATGTAATTGTTTGTGGTGCTGTAACCATTTGATTTGTATATGATTCTCTTGAACCAATAGTTCATGCCTGTTATCAGGCATATACAATACTTATTTTTTACTTGGACACATGCTTTCTCAAATTCATTTCTTCTTTTGTCCTGTGTGTTAAAGAAAAGGTATTCAAACGTTGTTTCAGATACTATCACAACAAAAAGACAAAGCTGTCTAGCTGGGAGAAGCCTCTTGATCTAATGAGCCCGATTGAGGTGTGCAAACGATTGAGTTATTGCTTTTTTAACTTATTTTTTGGTTTATCATGTTCTGTGGATGTAGTTTGTGGGGGTTCCTGTGTAAAGAAACTCAACCAACTTCTTTCCTTCTCTTTATAACTGTTGGACCCAATAGCATTTAAGGTGCTTACAGGTAGATGATGTGAACTCTCTTGAGAGGTAGGAAATTCTGGTGGTTTTTGTTGATGGTCCGTGTATTAAGTTGCTTGAAAGACATTAGATTCTATCATGCACTTGTGATATTTGAGATGGTGTTAACATTGCCAGCTTGTTATTGAGAGTAATGTTGCCTTTTCGTGTTGATTTGCATAATCTGTTTATGTTCTGTGCAGCTTCTCAGACTTCTAGCATTACATGTTCCTGCATTTGATACACTTACTCTGTGCTCTTCCAGTTTGCAATTTGTTGGAATTTTCTGTACGTACTGTAGAATACAATGGAACTTGTATATCATTAAAATGTGGTAGTAGGTTCTTGTAGTTACTAAAAGAAAATATTAAATCGGATGCTGCAATTTCTTTTTAGAAGAAAGAGGCACATGCCTCCTTGAACTCTATATAATGTTGAGTCAAAGCGTTTATGTTGTGCATTTAATTTACATCCATTTTTATTGAAAGGGAGAAAGCTTTTTCTCTAAGGTACTGGTGTGAAGGTTTTGTAGATCGTTTATGCAATAGTCTACTTGTGTATTGTGGCAAAAGCTAGCATAATTACAATTATCTATGCGAATTCTTGCTTGGCCCCTAAGGAATATTCAACACTGATTCTTGAACTTTTATGTGTTGTTCAGCTTTTCTCAGCTGGCAGCTTATTGCTAAAATTAACATGCCTCAAACTTGGAGAATATATATATAACCTTGAGGTATATGAAATTTGACTCTTACCGAAATGGGATACTTGCCTGCCTTATTGTCTTTGTCTTCTTGTCACCTTCTTCAGCAGCACAAAAGGTTAAAGGATTTTGAAGTTTAGAACATCAAGTACTTAATTCCTTGCAAAAGTATGTTATCTGTAGGTAGTTTTGTCTACTGCTGTTCATCATCAGATTGAATTTCTGTAAAAGGTCTTATCTAGACATGATACATGTTTGAACATCTTGATTTGGCTCAGCTTGCATCCAGGTGTTCCCTGTACCTGCTATACTTATCATGCTAACTATTAAATAGTCAATGTGACACCTGACAACCCAATCCCCAGAAAGCAAATGCATCTTGTAACAAGGTTACTTGATTTTACGTAGTTATCTTATCTTTAGCGCCTCTACAGAAACGCTTATTGCCTTAGGCTCTTCATAGTTTTCTTGGAGGAATAAGTTATATGCTTAACTATTATGATGTCCATTATGAACAGAGGGCTGATGCATCCACGGACTGGAAGGAATACACTGCTCCTGATGGAAGAAAGTATGTAATCTGCAATGCTCTTTGCTATCTTATGTTAATCTTTAATCCATGCCTACTAATTTTTATCTTGGCAGGTATTATTACAATAAGGGCACCAAGCAATCAAAGTGGAAGATGCCTGATGAACTCAAGGTCATTTCTCTTTACAACAATCCACTAATCTCACATTTACGTTGATTATTCACTAAGTTGACATATGAATGTATGCAGTTAGCTCGTCAACAAATGAAGACTAAATCTTCTACTGAAGAGCAGGAGCCAACGAAGGATCCTGATTATGAAGCCTCAGCTCCGTCAGTGACTGGTCTCGTATCTTTAGCCCGTGATGCGGATAGCCCATCATCTGGAGCTCATGAAATTGTGTCAAGCCCAGTTTCAGTGGCGCCTCTTGTTGCCGCTGCACAATCAGGACCTGTAGTGACTGCTGAGTTCTCAACAGGATCGAGACCGTCTTCTAATGCGACTTCAAATGCTGCTGAAGGGCAGGACGACCTTAAAACTGTGCCTATTACTTCTGAAGAAACAGAAGTGCCTGCTACATTGCTCAATCCTGCTGCACCAGCATTGTATAACATGTTTCTCTTTGTTTGTTGTGAATATACTTGTCCATTCTCATTTCCTTGTAATTTACCTTTATGGAAATTGTAGGAGCAACACTGAGGATGTTTCAGCGAAAGATTCTGTAGCTGCTGAAAATGGACCTCCTGCTGGTAACATAGAGGTAAGTTGGTTCATTGGTTGATTTTTCACTATTGATGTTAGTTGTGAGTATGTTATCTGATCACGTCTATGATTTGTAGGAATCCGAGAAAGGCAATGTAATCAACCATGGTGCCAATTTTATGGAAGAAAAAACACTTGATCAGGAAAACCAAGTTTATGAGAATAAACAGGCACTTTTTACTGTCACACTCATTTACCTTGCTCACGCGTATTAGTTGTATATTTATTTTCTGTGTCTTACATTGTTGTTTCAGGATGCAAAAATTGCATTCAAGGCTCTTCTGGAAAATGCAAATATTGCCTCCGACTGGACCTGGGATCAGGTACTCGCAGACTCTTTATTAATAAGTATATTTGGCGTTCAGATGTATTGACGGCTGTAGTTGTATCAGGCAATGAGAGTAATCATCAATGACAGAAGATATGGTGCTCTTAGAACACTCTCGGAGCGGAAGCAAGCTTTCAATGAGGTAATTGTTAAGTAGATGAACTGAAGTGAATCTTTTCTTTAGCAAAGTGTGGCGGCTTTTTCTTACTCGCATGGTTTTGAATGTTTGTCCTTTTACTTGGTATAGTTTGTCTAATATCTTTGTCATTCAATGTTTCAGTTTCTAGGACAAAAGAAAAAGAAGGAAGCAGAAGAGAGACGGAACAGACAGAAAAAGGCACGAGAAGAGTTTAAGAAAATGCTAGATGTAAGTTGGCTATGTACTCTTTTTCCAAGCATTTTCTTAAGGTGCTTATCCCTTTGTTTGGCTAGGAAGATAGCTCTTCTCATTTAATTTAATGAGATCATTTTTTTAATCTTCTTTGCCTGATTTCCTTCACAGGATTCAAAAGAGATTACGTCATCCACTAAATGGAGGTCAGTTTATAATCTGGAAAATTATTATTTTCTTGTATACATTTTTTTACTTGACCATTAACATGGCTATGTTTTTAATTAAGTTATTGCTTGTAATCTGGTAAATGTTAGGTGGTATCTTTGTATACTGTTCTTATTTACTTCCTGTTGAACTTCATGTAGCAAAGCGATTGCAATATTTGAGGATGATGACCGTTTCAAAGCTGTTGAGCGATCTAAAGACCGCGAGGACCTATTTGAGGATCATATAATGGAACTTGAGAAAAAGGTCAATTGCTTAAAGATTTTTCGATTATTGGTTATAAATGTTTGTTTTTAGAACTTTTGAGAATTTTATGTGACCTTGTGATTATTGTGGTGAAAATTTAGAAGTATGTCTTTCCTTCAGTAAGCAAACTCCTTTCTTCCCGTTGGTGAAGAAAGGAAATCTTATGTCGTCCCTGTTTTTATTTCTTGTCTAGTTTACTGTCACCACATTTCGAGCACTTTGAAACACCTTTCATTTGCAAAAATGTGGAGTGTGTGAGGTGATAGTTTGATAATCTCTGTCATTGAAGTTGGAACAGTTGCATAAACAGGTTCAATATTCATGTGAAATTATCTGCTGCTATAAATTCGGAATTCAAAATTTTGTAGTCTATTGCCGGCATATCACTTCCCTGGAAAGCTGGTCTGGGGATATGTTCTAAATTGGCCATCTTTCTGAAAGCATGCACAAGTTTTAAGAGTCAGAAGCATCCCTCATCTTTGCTTTAATCATTGAAAAAATGTATATTCTGTATACGTACATACACTCATACGCATAAATGTGCATATCTGCAACATAATGTTCATAATCTTTTACATGTCACTAAATGAAAATATCCTTGCTTAGTACATGGAGGATATTGATGATGTTTTTCTGGAAGCAAAACTGTAGAGTAGACTTTGGGTCTCAGATTGGTTGATGTAAATATCAGGAGTATCAATCATGGCATAGAAGAGTTGGTGAGTTCACTAGACCAAGCTATCCTGTCTACATAGTAAAAATAGCATATAGAGCTTCAGTCTTTGACTACTATATAGCTTCCTTAGCTTGTTGTGCTTATGGTCTGTTTTATGTAATTTACTTTCTGAAATAGTTACAGAGTTGCAAGTTATTGACATCAGCATAAAAGGAGACTTGGCCAGTGGCCAGTGTGAGCTTTCACCTAGATACTTTTAGTTGCTAAATGCAACTACTGTGATTATATCATTTATATCAATTACCTTGTAGATTGGTCTTCACGATTATTGTTGTTCTTTTCTATGAGTAGCTTAGTTATTGTTTTCAGCTTTCTAGTTGATACCCAATAAATGTGACTGAAAGTGTGTCAGATAAATGAATGCTGTTTTAATGACTGACTTGACTATTAAACATGTATGGCACATTACAATTTGTTCTCAGGAACGGTCTAAGGCTTTAGAGGAGCACAAGAGAAACAGAAAGGAGTTCATTGAATTTTTGAAATCCTGTGACTTCATCACGGTACGTCTATTAGCAGATAGTGTTATTTAGTTCTTCACTTATTCTGCCATTTTCAGTTTCAGTTTCTTTTTCATCTCAAACCTTGTTGGATACCTAAATGTTTTTCACACATCACCTTTATCTTCAGGCGAGCAGTCAGTGGCGGAAAGTGCAAGATCGCTTAGAAGCTGATGAAAGTTGCTTGCGCCTTGAAAAAGTTGACCGTCTAGAAATTTTCCAAGTACTTGTCTTGGACTTCTTTTTTGCTATTGATTCAGATGGAGAAGATTTATTTCATTCGATTGCGGGATACCTTTGTCAACTAACCAAAGGTTTGTGTCTCAGGAATATGTACGTGATTTAGAGAAGGATGAGGAAGAGCAACGGAAACTGCGGATGGTACCTCTACTATGTAAATTGAATTAGTGGCCCTGAATTGTTTTTGTGCTCCTGTTCTTATTTGTATTTTACTCATACAGGAAGAATTAAGGAAAACAGAGCGTAAAAATCGTGAAGAGTTTCGCAAGTTGATGGAAGGGCATATTGCTTCTGGCATGCTTACTTCAAAAACTCACTGGCGTGACTATTGCATTAAAGTTGGTTAATATAGTTCTTATCTTTTGATTACCCAGGTCTTAGAGTAGAACTATATGCATGAGAGGACATGATTCTATCTTACTTTCTATTATTTTGTTTTGGCTTACAGGTAAAAGATTTACCTGCATATTTAGCTGTGTCATCAAACAGTTCTGGGGCCACCCCTAAAGATCTGTTTGAAGATGTAATAGAGGAGCTAGAGAAGCAGGTAAAATTTTCAGATGAACTCAAGTTGGTTTATTATTTCAAAAAACCAGGATTCACCGTCTTACTTATTTGGTTTCAGTTGGAGATTAATTTTCTAGTTTAACTAATAAAGAAACTAATCATGTGAATTGGTTTTGTATACCTCATCTAAAAAAGCCAATAATAATCCCCTTGATCTAGTTTTGGAACTGATTGAAATATGAGTTGAGTTTGCAGTCCTATATCAAAAGCAACCTACCTTTGATAAGTTCATTTAGCATTCTTTTGGTTAGAAGGCAGAAATTGTACAAGAAGCTCTGGCATAACCATATATATTTATATGCATACACCAAATAAAGATCTTCCCCTTCCCTGCCGTGAAGTGACACTTAAATTCAACATGTGTACTTTGCTTGTTCAACATATTAATATTCTGTTTCAGACTTCTCCAAATGGGTGTGCCGTGTTTTGCAATGGATAACAAATGTTTGACTTGTTTGGTGCCATCTGTTCTTTTTTCTTTAATTTATTGTCTTGCGGTTCCTTGTTTTTATCTTTTTTCATTGTGTTGGACTTGGTGCTAGGACTTCAGAAATCAAATATAAGCCTAATATTTTGGACAGTGCATGGTCATGAAATTTGCCTGCTGGCAATGTTTGTCTTGGTTATCCTTGATGAATATTTTTATTAGACGTTTATATACAATCTTTTATGTTGGAACAAGATTTATCTTCTCTCTCGTATTAAATTCCTCACATTTTGGTTTTTTATTTTATTATATTGTCGTGATCGGTGTTTACGCAAGGAAACGTCGTTTAGTTGTGGTGTTTTGTCAGAAATTCCCATGTTCTGGTTATTGATAGAGACATTATGTCATCTGTTTGAATTGTGTATGTTATACTTTTGAACTTTTTGCTGAATCCTGTTATTTTATCCTTTGTTGTATATTACAGTATCTTGAGGACAGGGATCAAATAAAAGAAGCAGTGAAAATGAGAAAGGTTAGTTTCTACAATCAGCTTACACATGCCAATCTTGTTGCTCAAATTTTGGGTGCTTTCAGGTTTCCATTTCCTCTACATGGACTCTTGAAGAATTCAAGAGTGCAATTGCCGAAGATATTAGCTCATACACAATTTCAGATGTCAATTTAAAGGTATGCTCTTTCACCATCTGGTTAACTACTTAATATCTTCTTACTGAAAAGAGAATCTTAATGGTCTTTTTGGTGGTGGATTACAGAAAGGTTTGGTACTATTACTCTGTATAGTAGTTATACGTGATGACAGTTTTCTCTTTGTAGCGAGCTAATGTTCGTAGAATCCTTGAATGAAGTTAAATCATGTGACTTGCCACTACAATAAGCTTTATTGTCAAACCTTGGTTTTACATAATCTGTATTTATGTATATATGTTCTCTTGAAAAAGAAGGTCCTTTCACTTGAATTTCTATATCTGCTCTCAACTATCCTTTCTTTGAAATTGTTTTGCTTATAGTTAATAACTTTTCCCTTTATTTTTCAAGCCTGGATGAATGTTTTGGTCCCTTTCTAGGTTCTTGGCAGACTACTAGGTTTTTTTTTGCATGGAATAACTTCCCTATCCGGTGTTTGGGTGGTAGATGCTTTCCAAAGCATGAATGGCCTTTTTCATCCTTGGGCTCTTGAAGTGCAATATGTAATGACAAAAAAACAAGCCGTCTATTAATTAGGTACATGTAGTTGCGGTCTTACTGAAATGGTTCTACATCTTATACATTCTTCCCAAAAATGATCCTCCATATTTGTAAAAATTGCAAATAGAAGGCTTGTTTAGTTTGCATGGAGGCAATGTTACACACTTCCTCATGCATTGGGAACTATTTCAACTCATGGTTGGTTTCAATCCCTGAAATCTTACCCTATGGTGAACCTATATTTTGAGCCGATACCAAATGTAACTTATCTATAATCGAAGAGTACATGGCTCCAAGAGTTGACCTACATCTTTGAAATTCTGAAGCATTCTGTGGGTTGTGATACTCTCTGCTTACTGATTGTCCTAGTAGTGCAAATTCTTCTTATGCTAAACCCGAACACTCTGGCGTGGTGCCAATCATTAACTACTACAAGAATCAAACTGTGAATATAAATGTAGTCTACTAACAAGTACTGCATCTGAACGTTCTAATGGATTTAGTTTGCTAGAAGAACACATAATTATAGATCTAGTGCATACAGAAGTTTAAACATCCAATGCCTGCTGCCAAATAGGGGTGTATAAAAAACCATCAAACCGCTCAACTTGCCTAACCCAACCCGTTAACAACCTAATTAAACCGCTAAACCTGTAAACCGCCAATTAAGAGGGTTGAAATTGGGTTAGCCTAGCTCAACCCAACCCGCCAACCCGCCACTAATAAATGTAACTTCGATAAAATTTTATTTGTATCTATGTATAATATACTAGTATATATATATATATATATATTAATAATGTTTAAAGTTTTTATATAATGTTTGTTGAGTTTGTGTTTGTATTTCTTTTTAGCTAAATGTATAGGTTACCAAAAGAGATTCACCACCAAAGAATGATGGCAAAGAATCTAATAGGAGAAAATTATTGGAATCATTTTTGCAGCAATAACAAATGGATATGCTGGAGAATATGAATGAGTTGATAGATATTTGGTTGACGAATCTATAATCCAAAAACTCCCTCATTTGATGTTGTACTTTGGTGGAAAGAAAATGCTGGTAGTTATAACATTTCACTACAACAACATTGGGTTTATAGAACCTCTAAAATGTCTAAGCATCCTATTATGGTACTTTTAGGACGAAATAAAAGCGTGTTGCAATATGTTTATAGGACGCTTTTGGGTGTCTTAACAAAATTTTTAGGACGCTTTTAAAATAACTTGTCGTATTAGTTATTTTATATGTTACTATTTGAAAAAGTGTCATTGAACACAAGTGTCCTATAAAATAGATGAGTTTAAAGGACACCTCTCAAAATTGATCTACAAAATAACTAATACGACACTTTAATTAAGAAGGGTTCTAAAAAACTTGTTGGAATGGCCAAAAGCGTCCTATAAACCTATTGTAACCCTTTTAGATAGGACACTTTATAGTGTGGTCCTATAAAGTTAAGGGGCTGTTTGTTTACCTCTTAATGGTGACATTAAGAGGTTATGTCTGAATCGCTAAGAGGCTAAGGTTGTTTGGCAAAAAAAAAAAACCAACCTCTTAAGGATGACAATTGCCTCTTAACCATTTTTCATCCAGGGCTAAACTAAATCGTTCAGAACCTCATTTGTTCCACATATGCCCTTCTCGGTCTCTCCCTCCCTCCCTCCCAGCGGTCTTCTCCCACGAGGATAATCCAGCCTTCTCCTCCCCCCACGGTGGTCGTTCTCCATCAGTGATAGATCTGTCACCGACAGCCTCTCCATCTTTTTCTCTGGTTGTCTCCCGCGGTGTCTCTAATCTCTTTTCTTCCATTTTTCGATCTACTGTGACTTTACCAAAATACTTCTTTTTTCTCGATTTCTTGTTGATTCTTCGATCTACTGTGGTTTTCGATCTACTGTGTTGATTTCTTGTTGATTTTTCTATCTGTTCGATTCTTCTAGTTTCAAACCACCGATTTCTTAAACCATCTGCTGCATATGTTCTATTTTTACACCTCTAGTGTTAAACCATTGATTCTTCTACCTGTTCTATTTTTACACCTCTAGTTTCAAACCAACGATTTCCTTCTGTTGAAGATATCTCTCTCTCTCTCTCTCTCTCTCTCTCTCTCTATATATATATATATATATATATATATTTCTGTTCTGATTTGGGATAAATCATATGCAATGCTGCAAAGGAATGCAGTAGTGGATGTTGGGATAAATCATTGGAAAAGCATTGGTTTGAATAATGTTAAGTATTTAAAAAATGCTCCGGTTCATATGAAATGCAGTAGAGGATGTGAAGTGTTTTAAAAAATGTTCTAGTTCATATGGAATGAAGCAAAGGATGTTCTTGGTAATTGTTCAATTCAGATATTCACTAAATACTCTATTGTTACAAAGGGTTAAAATGGTAATTTGTTGTCATTCCGGTTGTCCGTTCAGAACAGTTACCAAACAACCATATTTCAGTCAGTACTACATCATACAGAGCCTCTTAAGCATTATGACCACTTAACCATTATGGTTCAAACCATTCAACAACTGCCAAACTGTCCCTAAGTCTTATAAAGTATTTCTTTTGTCAAATTTATGTAACTACTATGCCGCCAACCCTCCTCAACCCGAAAGGATTGGGTTATACTTTTGAATGGGTTGGGTTGGGTTGAGATTTTTCCAGACCGCCATAATTGGTTTGGGTTGTAAAAATGTCGTAAACCGGGCAACCCAACCCGCATACACCCCTACTGCTAAATAGTAGCTGTCAGCTTCTGGCTACAAAATAGGGGTTAACGCAGCAAACCTACTTGCTGCTGCCAAAATCCTTCCACTGATTGCTGCTGTCAGACAGTAGCTTCTGCATCTTCTATTACAGCTCAAAAACAGCTGATTGTTACTGTCAACCTGCTCTCACCCCCTTCTGATGCCAATGACTTGCTGCTGCTCTCTTTTGCTGTCAACCCTATTTGAATTGTATTTGTAATGGGTGTTGACGCCTCTGATTCCATAGTAATTCATACATCTGGTGTTATACTATCTGCTACTTCAGGTTGCCGTATACTGTTGTGTGTAGGTTTTTGTTTAACCTATAGGTGGGTTTTATGGGCATCGTTCCAATAGAGCTGAGTGGTGAGCATGATGTCTTCCAAGGTAGGCGTTTTCCCTCGGCGAGGTGAGGTGTAATCCTTGAGGAGGAATAGAAGTAAAAAAAAATTATATATGTGTAATACAAACATATATATATATATATATATATGGGGGTAAATTATATATAAGATACACTATATTATATATATACCTAATATCTTCATGAATTGAACACTGTCCTTGAATATTTTCCATCTTGTAGAATTATATCTGTCACACATTCTGCATGGTGAAGCCCTATTAAACCTAGTATGATCAATGATGTGCCCATGCCAAAGGTCGGTAAAAACATTTTAACATTCTACTTAGGTTAGGGAATCAGGTGATGAGAAATCTTTCCATGATTCTAGGTTTTGATTACTTGGAAGTTTCATTTTCCACACCTATTCAATCTCAAAGACTGGTTTCATTTTTGGGACAAAAGTTTTTTATTAGTGCATTTTTTATCTATACTAGGAGACAACACAGTTTTTGCTTGCACATGCCACCTTTCGATATCCTGCAAATATCAATAATTTGAATTGAAGCAATTTATTCCAGGCTGACCACCAGATATATATCAAATCTAATACACACCTTACTTTCTTACAGCTTGTATTTGACGAGTTACAAGAGAGAGTTCGCGAAAGGGAGGAGAAAGAAACGAAAAGGCGTAAACGTCTTGCAGATGACTTTTATTTGTCTTTGAGCACTTCTAAGGTTTGACTAGACGTCTTTGTTGACAATGTGTATAGGTCTGTTGACACTGGGGTTTGTTCTTATTAATTTAATTTCGTCTTGTCTTGCTGCAGGAAATTACTTCATCTTCCCGATGGGAGGACCTTAAACCCCTCTTTGAAGATAGACTGGAAAGCTGGTATTTTTTGTTTCGGTGCATTTACTTTTGATATTTGAGACATCAGTTCTGCTTCACAGCTAAAACTGTCTTACCTGTTGTTTGATTTTCTTGGTCATCCAATATGGCTCTTAATCCATTGTTGTTTTCTTTAATGAGCACCCTCCTCACTAGACAATTTGGTCACTGAAAATGGTACAAAATTCAGTAGTTCTATAGGATCTTATGTTAAAACCATCTAGTTAAATTTGTGTGCATATTTTGTATTATTTATTTAATTAGAATATCTATTTGAAAGTTGAAACTTGTCTATACCAAGAAAGATTCTCCCTGCTTTTTTAATGCGATGTCAAGCTTTAAAAATTTGGACCAATCTATTTAGGCCATGCAAACTTATTATAGCACCAGCCAATTGTTCCCTTCTTAATCTGAAGACGGTGCAAGTATTAGAAGAGTGTGTTTGCTCAAGAATGCATTAGATGTTAAGCATGGTGGCAAGTTTGTTGTTCTCCATATATTGCTAATGTTTTATCCTTGATTCCAAGGCTCACTAGCAAACCTGTCAGACTTTACATTGTTGTCCACAGGAGAACTTTAATTACTTTGAGGAAACTTTTGCATTTTGAAAAGTGGGTTCTAAATGGAATCAATATAATATTGCTTCTTATTTCCTGCTCCTGTTACTTTTACAGTAACTTTTTAGGATCATACTTATCTAGTATTTCGTTGTTATTCAGTATAGCATCATTGGTTGTTATACAGGTTTACAGTGGAAGAAAGCTTCTATAGGGAGATCTTTGACAAATACATGACAGAACTAAAGAAAGCAAGAGACGAGCGGAAGCACAGAGAGGAAAAGGTAGTGTATGATCAAAGAAAAAGTATAATATTATGGGTAATTCATCACATTTACCTATTTTGGTATAAATATGTTGTTATATATCAACCTGTGCTTCCAGTGGCTTCTTTTCTACATGGAAGCACATGCTGAATTGCTGATGTATAAGTTACGGCTTGCTTAATTTTTATATCTGGTGTGCATCCTATGTGGCAGTGTGCCATTGCGTAACACCCTATAATTGAGATTGCATGAAAGAAAGTGGATTTGTAGAAAGTATTTACCTGTCTTGATGAGATAGGCTAGATACGTATCCTGAGAACATTTGAGTTGTGGCTTTTATTTTTCGATATTTCTACTAGCAGCAACTTGTTGACAGTTAAACTCTAAACAATCATTAATGGTTAGATGGTTTAGGGTTTAGACAATTATTTGTTATGAAGAGCCCAATAATTTGAATGTGATTTGAAAGCAAAGGGTATTTTTGGTGCCAATTGACCTATTTAGTACACTTTGTCACTCAGAAAGGCGAGTTGTAATTCTAGGATGAAAGGAATATATGGCATCTTATTCAGATTGGAAGTAGAAGCATTTCTAAATAAATTGTCTTCTACCTGTTAATTCAGTTGCTTAGTTAATGACTATGCCAACTCAAGGGGGCTCTAAAGGGTCTATACTTTATCGTAAGTAGTAACATAATGCAGGGAATGTTCCTGCAAAGTGCAAATGTTGTTATACATACCAATTTCACTTGTATATATACCTTCTCACAAGTACCTCCCAGTATGTATATATATATATATATAATATATATTATATCCTGATTTACTGCACAATTTTTCCCATCCTTTTTCTTGCATGATGTGCATTATTGACATGCTTTTGAAGCTCCAAAACAAGATGTTGATGTTATTTTGCTAGTTCTTTGGTAAATAAGTCCAATATGGATGATTGATATTTAGATATGAATTGGGTGTATTAATGTTTTGAGTATGATCCTGTTTCAGGCGAAAAAGACCGTGGATAGAGATAGAAGGACGTCATCAAAATCAAGAAGGGACAAGGAACGAGGTAAGAAAGATAAGCGTAGAAAGGAAGAAACAGATAGTGATAATGGTGAGGAGAATAGAAGGTCAGGAAGAGAAAAGGACAAGAAGCACCGAAAGCGGCATCATCAGAGTTATTTGGAGGATATGAGCTTGGAAGAGGATGAGAAAGAGAAAGATCGATCTCACAGACACAGTATTGAACGTAAAAGGACAAAGCAGCAGCAGGTTCGTTCTCCCTTTTCATCTTATTCAGTTTCATTCTAACCTTCCAATAAAGTTCAAAAAGAACATTATTTTTACTGGTAATGGGTTTGTTTATAGTTGGAGCAACAGTCATCTGCTACTGCTGGTTCAGTTGAATATGAGAGCCGACACAAGAGATACAAGAGAGATCATAGACACTACGATGATCAGAAAGAAGCTGAGGATGGCGAAGTTTGGTAGTGTTATTTTACTGCTTTCCTTTCCTTTCCTTTGTAGATATAATTTTGCCTTCTATATAGATTAATGTTACCCATTGATGTTACCCATTGCTTACTGTTTTATGTGATTATTGCAATCATGTTTCTCTTTTCTCCACCTATATAGAGTGGAGAACAAAATTTTGAATTTATAAAAAGCTACAGAAAGTTGACTGTTTTGCGATTCGGGTCTATAGAAATTTTCCTAAGAGGTTTAAAATGATTGACCATTTTTTTAAAACGGGTGGGATCGAGCCCTGGTTTTCAATTATCAAGATTCAAGACTGGTTAAGACGAGTTATGGTTAGGGCACAAGTGATTGTAGGGGGGTGGGTTTTGGTTATAATAATTCCATGTATGCTTTAAAAGTGATCATGTGATATTGATTTGTTATAATAAGATAATTAATTATAGTAGAAGATTAACAAATTAACAGATACATTTTACATCGTTGATTAAGAAACAATGGAAAATGCAAAACCATGCCATGAACCCGAAACTTATACCAATGTTATCTTAGTTAAGTTTGGAGTTTATGGCAATGTGATTGTTTTAGACGATAAAGGATGAACAACACAACTCCAAAGAATGCCGTGACTAATTCAAGAATGTAAGCAAAAAGACAAATAGTAAGCCGATAACTAACATTCACATGGCAACCATGTATTATTAATCTTGCATTTCATATTGAGATGAAAAGATTTGCAGCTACAAAGCCAACAAAGTTAATTGCTAATCAAATTCTTTTGTGGTTGATTACCATCGTCATCGTCAATCTGCGTCAAAAGTTTGATTCTTATTGCAGGAACCTAATTCAGCACCGTCCATCCTGCTAGTAACAAACAAAGACGTACGTTACCTCTATTCCAAATGGTAAACAGACTGTTTCCATGTAGCATAACCAATAACTATTTTTGCAAATTGAAAAGCAACCCATATGATTACGTACACAATAGATAATAGTGCACTCCAATTTTATTCAATCGAAGGCGGTCCTCAAATTAGGAATTAATTGCGGTAAGTTCAAAAATCCTAAGGAAAAACAGCTATCAAGGACACTCCGCTCGTGCTCCTCACCCAAGGAGCATTCTCTGCTCTGAGATAGATATTCTATATACCCTTATCCGAGTGGATCGCTCGCTTGCTTTGCTTCCTAACACAAGGATCAGCTACAATTTTGAAATAGGAATCAGCCATGCATAAACATTCCCCAGGGGACTAGATTTGGGGCTGTTTACTTGCAGATCAATCAATCAGTCATACAAAGTGTTTCTTTACAGCTTAATCATTAAGCCATTAGCCAAGGTGGCTATATGGAATAAGCCAGGTCACTTTTCCCAATTAAGCCACCTCAAACAAATTAATACCAAAATTGTCCCATAAATAATTCAACCCTCTCTCTTTGCTTCTCTCAAACCCATCAGTCCCCCATACAAACAACTTAACTCGTACAAGGCTTAAGGGAAAAAAACTAAACAACCCCTTACCTTAGATGTATTTTGCCTTAATGGTTCATCTTTCTCAACACTCAATTCAGGTTAAAAGGTTCATAAAGATTGATGGTGATTTTTTTTGGTAGGTGGAGAATAAGGAAGCTTTTTCTTTTGCCAAAAAAGAACCCATTTTCTATTTCTGAAGTTGCAACTTTTACAAGTTGGGGCGTCACTATACATATAAAACACTTCTATTTCTTTCATATAACTTTTTTGTGCAAAAGATCCTTGAGAAATAAAAATGAAAACATTGTAACAAAAGTTGGTCTTATTAAAATTTAACATAAAGGGTGTACATTTGGAGGCATTCTATGCATAAGGATATCATAGCTTGAAGATGTTTTAGCCATGCTGTCATGATATTTAAACCATATACTCTTAAGAAAATAATGGAGCCTGAAGCAATTCGCAAATAAAAAGATGGAACCATCCTAAATTCCAAGCTTCTTTCTGTAGAAATCCCAACATTCTGAATTAACCCTCACAAACACCAAACTAAGGGCTTGTTTACTTTTTTTCTTCCATTAAGCCTGCATGTAAACAACCCCTATGTAGACTAAAAGCAAGACATCATATTTTGTGCCTATTTGACAATGATATATGTAATACGTAGTTACTAAATCGTAATGACATATATCAATTCTGTCAGATTATCAATGCTAACTATCCCCTTGGAAAATATTGAAAGCTAAGGCTATGCTTGGCAAAATAGATGATAAGCCAATTGTTAGCTCAAAAGCTAGCCGTCGGCTAATTAGCATGCTAAACTAGTTATGTTTGGTAAAAGCTAGATGATAATGTAAAATGACCTAAAAGGGTTGAAAAATTAATTGGAAAACGACAAGGGGCATAATTGGATATAAGTGGGAAAAGGCCCTTGGATAGCTTATTGCTAATCAAATAATACGTTTTCAATAAGCTCAAAAATAAGCTAGCTTATGGTTGCCAAACATGACCTAAGTTTTCAGATCGAAATAAGTTATGCATCTACTTCGTAATTTGGAGAATATTGAAAACTAAGTTTTCAGATCAAGAATGGGTATGCATCTATTTTGTAAGACATGCAAAAAATAGGGTAGGTCTATAAAGAACGGTATATATCCACAATAGATATGCTATGCTTATAGACAAAACCTACCTTAGAAACAAGTGTCTCGGCCCCATCAAATTTCTGAGAGCACTCTGAGTACGCAGATCCTATACCCACCCCTGCACCAAAAGCAACCGATACCCAGCGAGTAACAGGGGAACCTGAGAGAAAAAAACATAACAATTTGTTTTATCGAGTATTCCAAATTTTCATGGACAGATATGATAAATTATTTACATATGCATTAAGGGGCACAGGGAGGATGAAAATGAGTGCATATGCAGGGTGTGATAAGTACCAAGTGCATGGTTTCAATAACGTTCTTAAAAAATACTCCAATTTGAGTGTGGCACAATATGTACTTAAACCCGCATCATAATAATCCATCAGAGTACCTATTGACCAAACTCTATTAGAATGTCATATCCTACTAACACATAAAGCAACAAGACAAGATACCAAATAAAACTCACAACGACAAGCGATGACAGAATACAACAAAACAATCAAATGAGACAAGTGTGTTTGAATAAGAAAAAGAAGAAGGAATTGAATGGAAGTTTAAAACAGAATGTCACAACTCTGATTATTTGGACAGTCGGTGTAATTAATATATGATTATAATAAAAAATAAAAGAGGTCCAAGTATTTGGTCTGCTCTGTTCCCTTTTCTGATGAGGATGTATTCGAAGCCTTGAACAAGAATTTAAAATTCAACCCCAAAAACTAGTCAAGGCAACCTGGAGCACCACTTAGCTAGGTAATATCCAAATGATTTTTTAATATGACAAATGTAAACCTGTAACCAATTCACACTTTGGGTACAGACAGACATACAGCAGTGTAGCTCAAATATTGTGCATTGCTCGGCCTTTCATATGTTGCTATTCTTTTTTCTTCTACTGACTATTTACCAGCCTTGGTTCATCCTTCTTTCCTTTTTGCTCACAATTTTGCACAGGCCAGGGGTCTGCATGGGAACAGCCGCTCTATCATTTGAAGTAGAGATCAGGTCTGCATACATATCACCCCTCCTAGACCCTGCTTTCGTACGAGATATACTGGGTTTGGTTTGCTTGATTTGATTTATGGAGAGTAGAATTGACAAATAATGACCTAGTGAAGTAAGTTTTTGATACGGACCTGGAATTAGTTAAAGATGAGGTTAACAAACCTAGGATATTACATGTGTATTCTAGAAGGGATAAAAGGGTAAATGACAAAAGTGGCTGAAGGTTGTTAGAAGAGAGAGAAGAATAAAAGAGGAAGGGGGATTTCTTTTTCATTCATTATGTTATTTGCTTATGGTTGTGAGAGAGGGATTATCGCTGAAATTTTGATTGTAATTTCCATTTTCGATTTCAATTGAATCATCTCCTTCCTCTCACTGTGTTCTTATTTCATTCCATAGCTGTGTTAGAAATTCAATTACCTTTCATTGGTCCGACCTGTCGTTCTTGTCTGATTCGTTGTTGATGGAAGCCCGTTCTGTATAATCCCGATTGTAGCAACATGATGAGCATCTCCAACGACTTCAGGCTGATGTTACTGAGATCAAATTGGCTCTGCAAACACCGGAGGTTGATAGGGTGGAGTCTGGCGAGTTCCGCAAAGTGATGATAGGGTGGATGAAACAACAGGGCAAACAACACGATTCTGGTGGTGGCATGGGTTCAAGCGATCATCATTCCGGTATTTTTTCGTGTCCGGCGGCGGCGGTAACAGAGCTGGTGGGGGTATTTTTACTCCTCCCAATGACTCCGGTGGGGTGCCTTGGGCGGTGAAGAAGGTTAAGTTACCAGAATTCTATGGGTTTGATCCTCAGGGGTGGATTCAAAAGGCTAATTTATTCTTTGACATCAATGGTACTCCTGCTCATCTTCGTCTCCGGCTGGCCCAACTGAGTATGACAGGGGTCGCACAATATTGGTTCACCGTCGTTAAACAAGTTCATGAGGGTATCACTTGGGATCAATTTCAAGTTGAATTACTTCAACGATTCAGTGGATTAGAAATCCAAAATCCCTATGAACAACTTGCAACCATCAAACAAATTACCCGATGACGAGGACTTGGACAAATCCCTGAAGAGCGACACAAAGGAACGAGGACTTGGACAAATCCCTGAAGAGCGACACAAAAGAGGGTTGTGTTTTCGTTGTGGGCAACAGTATGGCCCGGCTCACAAATGTCCAGAAGGGAAGCTTCGGGTGTTATTGTTGGGAAAAGACGAGGATGGACTAGACATGGGTGATGTTTGTTATATGGAGCCTCCAAGTGAACAGGGTCTTTCAAGTGAGGAGCAAGTTTCCATCGGAATGTGTGTGGCTTTGGAGTTTTTATGTGTTTCCACAGAGACTACACCAGGCGGCAAGATGATGAAATTATATGGGACGATTAGGGACATTCCCGTCTCCATCCTAGTAGATAGTGGAGCGACTCATAACTTCATCTCTCATCAATTGGTAACATCCTTAGCTTTACCATTTACTAGTTGTTTGGGAATTAACATTCGTTTGGGTGATGGTCATACTATTGTTGTTGATCAACAATGTCTTAATCTACAATTAATGGTGGGACAGTATGAGTTTATTGTGAATGCTCTAGTTTTTGATGCTAGGGAATTAAGATGTGGTGTTGGGGATGGCCAGGCTTCAAATATTGGGGGAAGTGATTCACAATTGGGAGAAATCTTGGATGAAATTTAATTTTCATGGGGTCTCAGTTTCGCTGCAAGAAAGGAGAGCCTCTCAAGGTTCCTTTGATTCCTTACAACAATGGTTGCTCATCTCGGAGGGCTTGGAGGCTGCCATCCCTTCGTTGCCCCAGGTTGATACCGGGTTTGGAGATGATTTAACCACTACTCAAGGGCAAGCCTTACAATTGTTGTTCAATCAATTTATGGTTGTTTTTCAAGCTCCTTCGGATCTCCCTTCAGCAAGGGTTCATGATCACGTTATTACCCTTAACAATTCCCATGACCCTGTTTGTGTTTGACCGTATAGATACCCACATGTGCAGAGAACGGAGATTGAAAAACAAGTGCAGGAACTACTTTCCTTGGGAATGATTCGTCCAAGTAAGAGCGCTTTCTCAAGTCCGGTGATTTTGGTTAGAAAAAAGATCAAACTTGGCGAATGTGTGTGGATTATAGGGCCCTTAATAAGGCTACTGTGGGAGATAAGTTTCCAATTCCCATGGTGGAAGAGCTCATCAATGAATTGCATGGAGCTCAATTTTTTTCCAAACTCGATTTGAAATCCGGTTACAATCAGATATGTGTGCATCCATAAAGCATTGAAATGACGGCCTTTTTTACTCATGACGGACATTACGAGTATCTCGTGATGCCTTTTGGCCTCACGAATGATCCTGCTACTTTTCCAGTCGTTATGAACGACATCTTTTGTCCTTGGTTAGGGAAAATGGTGGTGGTTTTTTTCGATGACATTTTGATTTATAGTTCTACTTGGGAAAAACATTTAGCTGATTTGGAAGTGGCTTCACAAGTTTTGGAACAAAATCAATTTGTGGTCAATAGAAAGAAATGTTCTTTTGGTCAACAATCGGTAGAATACTTGGGTGCATATCATCAATGGTGTGGGGGTTGCCATGGACCCTAAGAAAATTGAGGCGGTGTTAGTTTGGCCGGTTCCTAAACAAATTAAAGGATTACGCGGTTTTTGGGTCTTACGGGTTACTACCGGAAATTCATTCGACACTATGGAAGTATTGCAAAACCACTCACTGATTTGACAGAAAAAGATGCTTACACATGGCATGAGGGAGCGCAAGAAGCTTTTGACATGTTGAAAGAGGCCATGGTGACTGCTCCTTTATTGGCCCTTCCAGATTTTACTCTTCCCTTTGTGGTAGAGTGTGATACATCAGGTAGGGGTATTGGAGCAGTATTAATGCAACAACAAAAGCCAATTGCCTATTTCAGCAAGGCATTAAGTGACCAGAATTTGGCCAAATCAGCTTATGAAAGGGAGATTATGGCACTGGTTCTAGCAGTCCAACATTGGCGTTCCTACTTATTGGGAACCACATTTGTGGTTTATACTGATAAAAAAAGTTTGAGACTTTTACTACAACAACGGATTACTAGCCCTGATCAACAGAATTGGATGGCAAAACTATTAGGTTACAACTTTGAAATTTGTTATAAACAGGGTAGAGAAAACCGTCAGCAGATGCACTATCTCGTAGGGCTGAAGATGGTGACATATTGATGATCCTTTCATCACCTTTGTGGTTACAAGGAGCATATTTACTTGAAGAGCATAAGGCTGATTTGGAGATACAAAAACTAATGCGTGAATGTTCGTCTCAGTCGGATGCTCATCCTGGATATTCTGTTTGTAATGGAGTTCTCTATTATAAGGACCGATTAGTTATTCCGAGAAATTCTAAATTCATTCCATCTCTACTAAAGGAATTTCATCAATCCGCGTTTGGTGATCACTCCAGATATTACCGCACTTACAGGCCTTTAGCAGGTAATTTATATTGGCTTGGGATGATTGCTCTCATTAAGCAGTTTGTGCGTGCCTGTGATGTTTGTCAACGATGTAAGGCCAGCTCGATTGCTCCTGGAGGGCTGTTGCAGCCTCTGGAAATACTGGATGCTATTTGGGAACATTTGTCTATAGATTTTATCCTTGGGTTGCCCAAGTCGAGGGGGTTTGATGCCATTTTCGTGGTGGTAGATAGGTTGTCCAAGTACAACCATTTTATCTTACTCAAACATCCTTATACCGCCAAATTCAGTAGCAGATATCTTTGTCAAGGAAGTGGTTCGTCATCATGGAATTCCCAAATCGATCGTTAGCGATCGTGATCCTCTGTTTTTTAGCCGATTTTGGCAAGAGATTTTTCGATCACAGGGTACTGAATTACATACGAGCTCAGCATATCACCCCGAATCTGATGGCCAGACGGAAGTGATAAACCGTTGTTTGGAAACATATTTTCGGTTTTTCGCTGTTGATCAACCTCATTCCTGGTCATTGTGGATTCCCTGGGCTGAATTTTGGTACAATTCGACCTTCCATGTGTCGACTGGTAAGTCTCCATTCGAGGTGGTTTATGGTCGAAAACCACCAACAGTTACTTAGTACATACCAGGCGAAGTACGAGTACAACAGGTGCTATTGGAATTGCAAGCAGAGATGAAGCCTTAAAACAACTTCGTGTTCATCTGTTACGTGCTCAAGATGTCATGGAAAGGAATGCAGATGAGAAAAGAAGGGAGGTACATTTTTCTATTGGGGAATGGGTATATGTGTAATTGAATCATCTCCTTCCTCTCACTGTGTTCTTATTTCATTCCATAGTTGCGTTAGAAATTCAATTACCTATCAGTTTTCATACAAATGCTCAAGCCTAATGTAAACAACACGCATGACCTGATAAATTGACCTTTCAAACAATTGTTTCAAGTACTGGTGTAAGCTCGTATGCTACTATATAAACCAAAACAACTTTTTCTGTTTATCCATGAATAAAATTTATTTGTCTAAGGAAAAAAGAGATACATTAATACAAACTTCTAATAGAGTCATGAATATTGTGGGTTTCATGCTTTTCAGTGATTAAGCAATTTAATCATGGGACTTGGTTGAGGCTTTAAGTTGTTCCAAACATGTGAAATCTTTAAAACCTATTCTTCAAGAAGCGAGATACAGAATGCTGTGTTGTTCAGTGCTTTAAGCCTTTAACTAATTAGTTTCCCTGCATTTTTGGTTCTGAAATCCAATCCACCAGTCACATAAGATAGGAACTTTGTTAACTTAAAGAAATGTAAGTTATATAAGATGCCAAATCTCATTTTGCGCTATGAACATATAATGCCCCAAATTCAGCTGCGTACTTGATATCAGAATTCCACCCTTTCATTTTTTATCTTTCAAAGTCACAGACACCAATAAAAATAGATTTATCCTATAATTTCTTGCCTTCTCTTCTTTACGTGGACAATAAAAAGAATACTAGAAAAGATTATACATGACACTTTTAGCCAGGGTCAGGTTCTTTACATGCATGGATGTGGATCGAAAAGAGCATTTCTGTTATAGATAACTAATTCATTAGCTGAACACTTGCTTCTTTGCAAAGAACACAGATTAGTTTGATGCTTTTACAATGTTCCTTTTGCAAACAGCAAGAGCCAATCATTAGTTAGATTCAAATTCTTATACAATCTTCTCATTTCCTTAGATGATGGGACTTTCGAATATATATATATATATGAAATTTTTCCTAGAAGCACAACACCCGAATCTTAAAATCTTAACACAGGTCAAAAAACATATCCCTAATGTAGGGTTTGCTATGTTAAGCTCTTCATACAATCATCCACCTAGGATAAGAAGGTGCCTCCATATAGAATCTGCCATGCAGGGACTCCTTCACTCGATCATTGATTCAATCAACAAATTCATCAACATACGGGGTCGAATTTCCTTATTTTACCTCTACTTATTCAATCAGTAAACAAAAATCAAGTGGGTATGCCTCAATTACTAATGGATTTTGGTTCATAGTAATCCAACAGCCAATATCGACAGTAAGAATGCACGAGAAGTCGAATGCAGTGAAACACATCAGAGCACATCGATTGAAATGAGAAAAAGGTAAAATTGATTCGGAGGAAATGAAGAACTTACGAAAGAGGAGGAGGCCAGCAAGAGCGCCGGTGGCAGAGGAGTATGCAAATCGACGAACACCCAAATCAAGATACGCATCCCACTTTGCATTAACATCGTATTGAGAAGGAATCTCTTTGCTTTCAGCCATTTGTTTTGGATTTGAGATTTGAATGCCTTTTCTTTCCCCTTTGTGTTCTTTCTTTCTAATACCCTAATAATAAAGACTTGTTTCCTCTTGACTTCAAACTGTAAGGATTTTTAGTGGACCTTGTTCTAAAAGACATCACATTAAGACGATATTTGTACAATTTTAATTTTGTCAAAAAAAATATTTAAATAAATTAAAATCTTATTCTCTCTATAATAAGACTCTTGGTCCTTGTCTTGTTCTTATTAGGTAAGACTTTTGGTCCTTGTTTTGTTCTTACCAGGTAAGATTCTTGGTCCTTATTATATTCATTCAATAAAGTAATGTGACTTGATAAACGCTTACTTGGGTACGGTCCCTTACATACCAAATGCTACCAAAATGAGAGTTTATTTCATTATCCAAATGGAAAGTTCTTTAGCTAACCTTGAGGGCAACATTAGCTCACTGGGCCTTTGAGGTTTCTCCATTCTGGTTCAAGTCCCTTTAAGGCTGCTGATGGTTTTTTGTTTGTTCTCCAAGAGCCCTTAAGATTAGACGGTGTACGCGCAAGTTGTATCAAATACCCATAATTAACAAAAAAAAAACAGGTTGATCAAAAGTAACACTTACCTTACTATATGTATGTTGTATTTGTATCTCATACTTAAATGTTTGAGATGTCTTATGAAACATCATAAAATGATGATTTGAAATATGACCCTGAAATAGAAACCAGACTAAAAAATGTCTCGTTTCTATGTATTTCAAGTTATAAAAAAAATCACGTGAACAATGATAACCGTTAAGTCCATTAAATGTTGGTATTGGCTTCGGGTATTAAATTAGGCTAAGAAAAAGGTAATAAGAAACTACTACTTGCTGCTCTCAAGACGAGTAACCCCTATTCTTAAAGCAATTTCATCGTCTCACAAGATACAATGAAGCAACGTGTGCAGTATGATTATCAACAATGCACAGTTGGTGATAATCCCGATGAACTAGTGAGTAATCAAGGATTTCAAAATAAAATGTATTTCTATAGTGACAAACTTTAGGGTATTCTCATATGAGGTAAGTGAGAATTTTATATGTTTTTTTTACAGCAAAAAGGATGTTGTATATATAGACATTTTGAGTCTAATATGAGATTTAAACTTAAAAAAACATAACATCTATCTCTAAAATAAATCTCTACAAATATAACATTATTAGAAAATTAATATCGAATTATAAAAAGAACATCTATCTCTAAAGTTTTAAAAAACAACATCGAGCAAATTGAAAAAAACTTTAACAAGTCAATCAGCAATAGTTGGAATTTGAGACAAATATTGAGTAAGTTGAGTGATAATTTGGAATTTTGGACTTTGATTTTTGATGTATTTCGAATTTTGTTGATTTAGAAAATATAGACAATTGGTGAGTGAAAATTAAAAACTTAATGTAATGGACGTATTTTTTTCCGATTAGGATATAAAAGTTGAGGATACAAACATGAAAACTAAATATAATTAATGCATGTGTATTTCGGTGGTCGGTTCTATACAAACCGCTAAATAAACGTTCAAACCGCAGGCCAAACCGGGCCGAGCAGTTTGACTATTTTTCATACTAGACTTGACCGCCAAACCGCTCAAAACGCCAAAAACGGTTTGGTTTAACTTGGTTCAACCGATTTGAACGGTCCAACGGCTTTTCTTGAACACCCATACTATATGGAACAAAGTAAAACCACTAAACCTCAAGTTTTTAGTTTCCTACATTTTCTTTTATAGTATGCCTTTAGTTAATCCTATGATTCAGATAGTGATAATGGCTCAGAAGATACCGCCTCCAGGACGACACCACCTAGAAGAGCCAAGACACCAAAAGGTGATTCAAAACTACAATTCACCTTTGATAATATCCCACCGTCCCAATGGCGAGACAGAAGCATAGAGATGTTAAGTTGGTGTTCAGCTGAACTTCAATTCTATGACATTGACATAGTCATTAAGAGATTCCTAATCAGAACTCAAGGCCGCCTCCGAGATTGGTACATCAGCCTTGGAGAATACAGATAGATCTAGATCCAACAATCACATTCTCCTGAAGAGTTCATCCACATAATCTATACAAAATTCATCGACAACCTCTTCGAGCACACAACCCAGGCAAGAGACGAGTTTTTGAGAATGAAGTGTTGCTCATTCATGAAAAAGGACCTTGAAAGGCATTATGAACGAATGTCAAAAAAGGTTCTATTATCTTAATGGTGTTGACCATACGAATCTCAAACAAGTCTTCATAAACTCCTTCCTAGAGTCCCTTGCAAATGAGGTAAACAGATTCTTAGAATCAAAAAACGTCTCAGTCGCTCAAACCTCACTAGGTGGGCTTTATCAATTGATACTCAATGCCCTCACCAAGCTCTGCAACCAAAAAAGATTCTTATCAGACATTGAAAAAATGGGTAAGTGGCTTGGAGCAGCCTGTGATGAATAATATCTCCAAATAAAATGCAAAGACAAATCCAGTTGTGAATGTTCTCATAAAGGGAAAAAGTCTCATTTCAAGAAGTTCAGAGGATCAAGCACCCACAATTCCTTCAAAAGGAGAAAGTCATTCTCTCGAAGGAAGAAGTGGAAATTCATGAGGAAGAAATCACAACGAGGAAAAACCATTGACAGATGTTACATCTGCCATAGAAGAGGACACTTCGCCAAGGATTGTAAAGATAAGAAGAAGTCTCAAGCACTAATTCAAACACTCAGCAAGATTGAACCAGTCAATCTTTTTGATTTTGAATCTTTATACTCCCTTGACGATGAACCAACATATCATACCATATGCACGATTGCCTATTCTGATTCGTCATTGGAAGAAGAATATAGCTCAGATTCAGACTATTCAGAAGGATATTATGATATCGGAGTATTTATGGCAAAACCTCATCCACGTCCTCATATTTCTCTTCCTACTCAAAACCCCGTTACCCCTCAGATACTACCCTTACAAAAAACGCAGCCAACACCATTAGCAAAAGTCCACCTGCTTACTTCCACATATGCCAAACCCATTCCAGTTATTGCATTCTTTGATACAGGATCCTCCGTTTCGATATTAAATCCTGACATCCTGCCTAGTAATTACTGGAAACTGCATCATCATCACTTCTTAGCAGCCAATGGTGATACATTCGTCATTGACATGATAAGTATCCCGATATACATTAGGCTCTTTCCCAAGTGCGTCATAAAAACTAGATTGTTGGGATCAATCTTACATGGAAAACATCTACTTATTGGGTTCGATATCCTCCATACGCTACCAGGTCTGAGATTTGCAGAACAAGGTCTCCGTTATAAGAGCTTTCTAAATCCTTGGAGCCCAATCCAAAAGCTCTATATGACCTCTACTCTTACCATGGAAACTCTCAAGCAACAAATTATCCAGACTTCTTGTGCCTCTAACCATATTGAGTTCCTTACAAAAAATAAAAACCCATTATGGTTAAACCCTTCATTCTTTGTTACCATCCCATTTAAACAGAATGAAGATGTGAACCCAACAAAAGCAAGCCATCCCGGAATAAATCATGACCATTATCAACTTGCAGTTCAAGAATGCTCAAAACTCGTTGATCAAGGGATAATAGAACCGACAACATCGCCATGGGCGTGCGAAGCATTTTATGTCAACAAAAGGAGCGAGCAAGTTCGTGGTAAATTAAGGTTGGTGATAAATTATCAGCATCTTAACCACTTCTTGGCCGATGATAAGTTCCCTCTTCCTCAAAAGAAGTCGTTGTTCCAATCCCTGGCAGATGCAAGAGTTCTATCTAAGTTTAATCTAAAAGCTGAATTTTGGCAACTTGGCATAACTCCTGAAGATAGGGCAAAAACTGCCTTCTGTATTCCAGATCAGCATTACCAATGGAAGGTGATGTCATTCGGGTTAAAAAAATGCTCCATCAGCTTTTCAAAAGGCTATGGTAAAAATATTTGAACTCATTCTCCACAATACCCTGGTGTACATTGATGATATCCTCTTATTCTCTCCTGATAGAGAATCGCATGTAGACTTGCTTTCACAGTTTCATTCCATAGTAACAGAGTATGGCATCATGCTCTCTGAAAAGAAAATGGAAATTGGTGTTGACTCCATCGATTTCCTTGGAATGAAAATCTTCGACGGTACGTATCAGCCACAACCCCATATTGCCCAAGAATTGCACAAATTCCCAGACAAGCTGACGTCACAAAAGGAAATCCAACAATTTCTTGGTCTCGTCAATTATATGGATGATTTCTTACCAAAGCTGTCAAGTCATACAGTGCACCTGTTCCCTATGCTAAAAAAAGATTCCCCACCATGGACTGACAAACAGACGCTAGCTGTAAAAGCAATAAAACAACTAGCGAATCTTGCAAACTGATGCAAGTGATGAATATTGGGGAGCTGTCTTGTTTGCTCAAGATAAGAATAATGTCAGGGCAGTGTGTGGATACAAGAGTGGCGCGTTCAAAGACTCAGAGAAGCACTATCATTCAACTTTCAAAGAGATTCTTGCGGTCAAAAGAAGAATAGAAAAATTCCAATTCCTTCTTGTTGATCCTTTCTCACCGTGATTTGATGATAATCCCTTTTCACTTCTATGTTGTATTTATGTTTCTGTATTTTCAGTTCCAGCAATCTTTATTGAGTATGTTCAGTAATCGCTGAAGAACTTGCATTGTAATTCTATCAGAGACAACAATAATTCAAGAAGACAGCACTCACACCAAAGAACCTTCAGTAAACGTCGAAGACTAAAACTGAAGATTAGAGACTGATGAGTACGTGATCTGAAGTGGTATTCAGTGATTACAAGTCTGTCTACATATGTGTGAAGACTGCTCAAGCTTCAGC